TTTAAGATATAATGTCCATTAATTATTTCGATTACTGACAATCTAGAATTAATTAAGTTATTATTGTTTTCATCGAAGCTACCGCTCGTTCATCACATTCATACTATGTCACATTCATACTATTGTTTTCACCGAAGCAATCGATAGTCGCCAATAGAAGTGAACATGTTTTTCAGAGGAATTTCATCAAACACCTTGAAGAAGCACAAATCAATACTAAACCATCATCACTCTTCCTTCTTCTTCGCATTCCCTTTCTCAACCGCCCAAAATTCCCCAAATAAGAATCACGACGAGTCCCGCATACTGAGCCAACTCGCTGATCTCCTCCCCATATAAATCCACACTCCCAACCCTCCAAACACCTAATCGGGTACCAAAGCCGCCGACGATTCTCTTCGGCCGGAAGACAATCTGTGCGGTGTTTTCCTTCAGAAACTCTGCGACAAATCCGTCGTTCATCGAGCGTTGGACAGCACTGGGGTCGAATTAAACCGTCGTTCATCCCAAAAGTTCAATCAGTTTAACATCAATCCCAATGCCGGAGCTTTCTCTTGTTTTTTTTTTCTTTTTTTTTCAACGTTGATGTCGAGGACATTTTGATTGAGATATGGAAAGAGAGTAACATATCAAATTGGATTTAATTGAAATCTCGTAATTTTGCAATTAAAAACTCAATAGAATCCTTTATTGAATTTAGTTTGTAATAGATGTATACATGTAAATATAAATACATAATTCTACATGTATGTAAATTTCCCAATATCATACGGATCCGTGGTTAAAAAGCGGCCCAAAAAGGAGGGGAAACAAATCTAACAAGAACGTTACATAGGGCGATGAATGATGAATGCAATTACCAAAAACCCAATAATGTGTAATTACCAAAAAACCAATAGTGTCCCAATTACCTGTTCAAAAAGAAAATAAAGGGCATTTTAGTCTGATGATAATAAACAAAGGCAAAAGTTCCCAAAAAACCAAGGAAATAGTATCATCAACACCAAAAAGAAGGGGAACGTAGACTTTATTCCCAATAAAAAGGACTAAAAATGCTAAAAAAAAATCAAGGACAAAATGAGCAATTTACTGCATAACTACACACGGTCAGCATGTGTACAATGAAGCTCGATCGATAAAAAATCAAAGAAATGAAGCGTGTTTGCACAGCTTTTTTCTTAAATATTGACTTTAGATAATGTCACATTATTATTCTTCTAATGATCATATCGTAAAGATTTTCTTTATCATAAAGATTTTCTTTTTTCAAACTTTTTTCTTGGGCGAATAAAAAAATTCAACGAAACGAGATCCGCCCGCGCCTTCCTCCTTGGCAATTTTTTTTTTTTTTTTTTTT